GGGGGGGCGGCGCGCACACTGGACCGGGCAGGCCCAGCAGGTGCCAGTGACACTTGCAAGGAGTGTGGAGAAAGCGGAGTTGAGAAAAGTGTTCACGTGTGTCGTACACATGCTTTGCACTTACCTGTAGGCTGGGGGTTAGGTTCGTGGGAAGCCAGAGGCTGCAGCTAGAATTCAGAGAGAGCAAGTCGACGGAGCCGGGACAGGAAGAAGGAGCTGGGACTTCTGGGTCTGTCCCTCAGCTCAGGGGGAGGCAAGGTGGTCAGCGCCGAGAGGGGGCTGGGGTGGGAAAGGGAGCTTGGGAGACTGTTAAAGGTTTGGAACAACCGTCCAGGGCCAGAGAAGGGAACCCCTTGGGATCTGTTTCCTTATCTATAAAAAGGAGGATTCACCCAAACTGCAGGGATTCATGTTCTACCTTAGTACATTTTATTTTCTTTATGTCAGCTCTTTTTCTTAACTATATTAATTGATTTAAAAAAAGGCCTTTTCTCACCACCATATGTGTAAAACAGCATCACTCACCATAAAGAAGTTATCCTAAGATGCTATCATGAAAACAAAATGATTACATCCTAATGAGATGCCTCTATCTGCCAAAGACTCCAAGCACAAGGCTTGAGATCACTTTGCTAAGATGTAGGTTAATCAATAGAAAAAATATGAAATACATTAGACACTGCTTGAAGTAAAAGAAATTCAAATGTGCAAATATACACTGAAAGATGCTACTCCCTGCCGGCAGGAAGGTGGAGAAATTGGCTCTCTCCCTTGTGCTGGTGGAGACGTGAATGATAAAGCCTCTTCGTAAATGAATTTGGTGTAATAAGAATCCCCCCAAATTGAGCTAACCTTTGTCTCTCTAGTTCTTCTAGAAATATGTATCATGAACACACTTGAGGTTCAGGGTATGTTTGTAGTGCAACTGGCCAGACCTGCCAGGGGTGGGGATTGGAGCATGGTGAAAGGTTGCTGAGGATGAGTCTAAGCTTCTGGCTGTAGCACCTGGGTCCTCGGGATTGTCGCTTGAGGCAGGGGAGGCTGGGGGAGGAGCCGCTTCAGGAGTGACCCCTGCACGTTCTGTTTCGGGCATATTAACGTGGAGAGGAGATGGGGAACAGAGTGGCTGGTCACTCTGTCCCCTTTCCCATCCCTCCCATGAAGTAGCTCTGTCACCCAGCTCCATTTTTTGTGGCTCTTATCATTTATGTATGTCTGTTATCTGTACCACCTACCAGGGATGTAAAAGGCAGGGGCCCTGCTTCTTGACTCCTGAAGCCCCAGTTCCTAGGGGTAGAGCAGTGCCTCTTCATGGTCAGGGCTTCGTAAGTGTTGAGGGAGGGAGGGAAGGAGGGAGGAAGGGGGGAATGGACCTAGTGGACTGGTCATGTAGACAGTGCAACTGGGTGGTTAAGACGGAAGCCTCTCTGATCAATTCTCTATGACATAGTCAGACTTCATCTCTCTGAACTACAAATCTGAGCATGTCAAAACCCTGCTTAGAACACTCAGGTGTCCTATTGCCATTAGGGAAACATCCAGACACTTTCAACAGAGTGGCTTCCCAGGCCCAGCATGACCCCCGCACCTGGATGGGGCTTGGGCTCTGCAGTTAGACGGTTCTGGTCACATCCCAGCTGGGCCCTCAACTGGCTGTGAACTTGGGGAAGTTGCTTAACCACTCTGAGCCTCTGTGTCATCATTCAAATAGTACTTGTGAAGAGTGTGGTAAGGATCGAATGAGGCAACGGACAGCAAGCCTTTCGGCCAGTGCCCAGCGCACAGGAAGGTCTCAGTAAACGGTCGCTGTGGCCGCCCTTGCTCGTCTCAGCTGGGCCCCACTGAACTGCTTTCTGTTTCTTAAAAATGCCGACCTCTCTCTTTCTTCTGGACTTTTAAATGATCTGTCCCCTTGGTTCTGAATGAACAAAGTCCTGGCTGCTGGCTCCGTGAGTCGGGGATTTTTCTAGTTTGTTCGCAGTTGTAGCTAATACTTAGCCCTGTGCTCAGTACACAGCCGCATGGCTATTTATTGAAGCAATTATCATCCAAGTACTTACTGAGCGAGAAGGTATGGCTCCCGAGCTCGCACTCTGACCCCTAGTTGTATGTAAATCATCATCATGATATGGTGATACCGTTATTACAGGTACTACAGTTGATTGAACACAGACATATGCAGCCAGCCAGCCCCAG